AGAAATTAGAAAAAAATATTCTTTAAATATTTATAATCATCTGATATTGACAAATTGATCACTAATAACATTTTGATTTAATAATATTTTGATAATTATACTTAAATAGAATAAATAATCAATTATTTGTAAAGTATTAAATAAGTAAAATATGATGTTAGGTATTGACTTGTTGATATCAGCTGATTAACATAATATATAGGACCCATATATATGTAGCAACAAAATAGAATGTGCTGTGCAATAAAAATCAATATTAGCTGACATGTGAAAATCAATAAGAGATAGTTCGGTACGCATAAAGGAAAAATTATTCTACGAACGCGCGGTCTTCTTCATGCGAATTTATTTTGTTTTTATATAATTTAAAAGCTGCCAACAAGACCAGCAATTAGCTGGTCTTATTTACAGTTATTAATAAAAAATTTTCAATACTATATTGTAGTCAGTGTTAGTTATAGAATTACAATTTCTATATTTCTTTTATTTTCTTATAAATATTTGGTATGATAATTTTTAATGCGAATTTTTAATTTTTAATGTTTTAATTTTAAAATTGGAACTGTTAATTTATTGTCTTGGCGAAAAAAGTTCTTTTATTCCAAAAACTAATTATCGTGTGTCTGTTTTAGAGTTTTATTATATTATTCGCTTTTATATTAAAACATGATAGACATGCACATATAATGTAAATTTTATTCAAGGTGTTTATTGTGTGAAGTTTTGAAGAAGAACGGTCTTTTCTTTTAAGAGAAGATGCGTCTTTATTCGTTGTTATGATTGAAGGGTTTCTATATTTGTTTTACAAAAACAATATATGCTTTATCAAAAAAGCGTGCATATAAGTTAATGCTTATTTATAATTATCTTTACGTAAATGTAGATTATGTCTATATTCTATCATTATGTAGACAATATAGTATTATACATTCTTACATCAATAATAATAATGTTATACTCCTCAAAAATATTTCCGATACTTTTAGATTATTGTACGGATTTAAAGACGGTGAAATACGAAGCGGACGCACGCACAATCTAAAAAATGGAAATTTGCAAAATATTCTGGTCGATAAATATAGAGGGATTGTCGTATAGATGGAATTGGCGAGTCTTACCGCATTGAAACTCGAAAGAGAAAGGACCATGATTTTACCAACAGTTAATGTGCAAGGTGAAGTGCTTCTTAGCATCATCACGTTTAAAAGTTTTCTGGATTTCGGCGATGATTCGTACCATTCACCTTGGTAACTAATATTAAAAAGTAAGAAATTAGTATTTTACTATTAAGAATTTTATTAATATATTTTATAAATTGTAATGAGAATTTTTTATATTTGATTTATTTTTTGAATATTGCATTTAATTATTAGATTTATATTTTAAAAATCTTTGTGGACGGAAATTTTATATTCTGGCTTACATTGATGTATATATACGATCGCTATGATCGATTATTTGTTGTCCTAACCAGCATGCGGTAAATAAATGCAATAATTGACCAGTTATAAAACCGCCGTGTTGCATTGCATCCCTCGGAGTTATGTTACCACTGGTCGCCTAAAGGTTTCAAAACGATTTTAATATTATAAATAGAATTTACAAAACCGCACGTTATATTATTGCAACTTATTGTCAAAATATATATATTCAGCACAAACCTGTACAGCTGAGAGACTCATAGCTCCTACAATTAAGCCGACTTCTATAAAGAACGCCTTTGAGTAAATAGTTTCCAAGAGGCTCGCGAACCTTACTTAAAAAAAAAAAAATTGGTAATTATTTAGTCTCTCTTTAAAATATGTAAATTGACAATTTCTATATTTGTCTTAATAATTCAAAATTATTGAATAATTATTAATAATTAATAATTAATAATTAATAATTATTAACTGTAAGGCGTCTTCATGTTTTTGAATACAGTAAGCAAAATTCGCGTAAATCTTATCATCTTCATCCAGCATAGCGAGTTCTTTATCCTGTTCGATTGATTTTCGTATATGCTCCAATCGGTATCTAATAAGCGAAACAAAAAATAAATCAATTTCTCAAAGTTTTGCTTAGTCGATTTATATTATCAAATACGTACCTAACGATTGAAAATAGTGCGCAGCAATGTTGTACTAGAATAGCCACGCAGGTATCGGATGCGACTATGGCAGTGAGTCGAATGACACCGGATAAATAATTATGAATCAGCACGGGATAGTAGTAGTTGTTGACATCTACGAAATATTCAACATGATATGGAAATCCTACTGGCCGTGTCGAATAGTTAGAAGTCATATTTTTGCCGATTATCTTCGGAATTATCGCCATTATCCAAAAGATGTTGCCAGCTGCATACATGCCACCTAATTTAAGCAATACTTAAAAAAATATACATTCGGAATTTTAAAGCACTCAAAATAATATTTAAGAGCTTTTAAAGATACGAATAATATTCATGAATTATTTTCAATATATATTTAAATTGATATTTAACAAGAATCTGAATTTTTTAACAATTATCACTCAAGCCTGCACATAAAAATAATTGTTATTAGTCTAATTATTAGTTAAATTTTTTCCATTATGATTGTTCTTCTACTAATTTCAAAATATAATATAATAATGATTTCTATATATCAATATCTTACTAGCATAGCCGATTGTAAGGCTTCTTCCAGTTTCCGCAAACTTCTGCAGAATTTCGAATTCACTTTGAATAGCCCACGATTGCCAATCTCTTTGTACATGTATAAAAAGTATTTTGATCTATGGCACGAAATTTCATTTATTTAGAAATGTGGAATATCCGCGCGTTTAATATACCGATCATATGCATACCTTTTTTATATTACACAGTGAATTTATCACTTTAATGATGCAAAGGCTGTATATTATGAGCGATGGTATACACTCAAGCGTTGCGTTAAGGTCGTTACGTAATGTCACTAAAGCGAATATCTTGAATCCAGTAATTTGTGTCAGGATAAAAAAAATATCAATGCAAAAGATACATTTTGCGAAAATTATAAAAAAATGCGACAGAATCGGTTTAATAATTTTCAACATATTAATAATTTCCAACATTTTTAACTGATAATTATATGTCTTTGTATAAATCTTTATTTAAATGTCTCTTGTTTTTAAAATTATCTTTATGATATATCGCGCGATGAGATAAAAGAAAAGATTTTTTCACGAAAGTACATAAAAATGAATTGCAGATAATTATAAATTAGAACCGCAACGTATGAAACGATGATACCTGCGTGATGGCTTGCGATAAAGCAAGAAACGACACCGTTGCAAAGATAACACGTCTATGTATGTCCTGTTGAAAAGGCCACTGTCCCAGTAATGAAAGCAACACGCGATTGATTCTATATAATCGAGATTGAAAGATTTCGTTCGGTGAATCCATTTTCAGCACTCGATTGAGACTACTGTATCGCCGATATTGTCTCAGTTGTCTTAGATTTTCAATTTAATAAAAAATTCTCTCAGAGGGAAAATAATGTTTCTAGCGAGTGAAATATAATCACGAGAAATTGGCTTACCAGATTGTCTATTCTACTAGATGAAAGACGAACGATCGGACACTATTCGTAGGCATATCTGTAATGCTCTTTTATGATTAATTTTATATAGTGAAGATCTTATAGTCCGTACTTATTATATTTTGTAATAAGAACTTTGATATTATTGGCATATTGTCAAGTGTATGTGTGTTTAACGACGTATCACAATTGTGCCATGTATTTCATTGAATCACGATTATTATCTTATAGAAACCGTAACAGCGTTTTGTCAAAATGATAAAGTACACGCATGAATATACTAATATTCTTCGGTTATTTTATCGTAAATATGAGTAGCACATTTTATCATTACTTAAATAACGGAATATTATACAACATCTTTTTACATCGACAATTTTACACTTTTCAGAAAAGAAACTCTGAAAGTTTTACACATTACCGTATGGATTGTAAGACTGTAAAATATGAAGCAGATGCACGTACAACCTGGAAAAAGAAAATATTTTTGTTAATAGAAAGACAAAAATATAAAAGAGAGAGAAATCCTGAGACAATCTCTCACCGCGCTGAAACTGGGAAGAGAAAGAATCATAATTTTTCCAGCGGTCAATGTGCAAGGTGAGATGCTCCTCAACATTATCATGTTTAAGAGTTTTCTAGATTTGGATGATGTTTCATACCATTCGCCTCGATAACTAATGTTAAGAATTTTATTAATATCGATTTAGTTATGTTATATTATTATATACTTCCAATTCCTATTAAAAAAAAATTTAGTAGACAGAAAATCTACAATCTGACTTACATTGATGTGTATACACGATCGCTATGATCGATTATCTGTTGCCCTAGCCAACATACAGTAAATAAATGTAATAATTGAGCGATTATATATCCCCCATGTCGGATTGCGATCTGTGGCGTGAGGGTATCATTAGTCGCCTAAATATTTCGAAACGGAGCGATTTTAATAAGTAAATTTACAAAATAACGCAAATTTATGCATCACATCATACATTTAGCACAAACCTGTACAGCTGAGAGACTCATGACTCCTATAATTAAGCCGACTTCTATAAAGAACGCCTTTGAATAAACAGTTTCCAAAAGGCCCGCAAACCTTATTTAAAGAAATGTTTCGATAATTATAAGTGATCTCTCTTTAAAGTATGTAAACTGAGAATTTCTATATTTTTCTTAATTATTGATTAATTATTAATAATAAATTATCAATTATTCATAATTACTAACTGTAAGCCATCTTCGTGTTTTCGAATACAGTAAACAAAATTTTTGTAAATTTTATCATCTTCCTCGAGCATAGCGAGTTTTTTGTCTTGTTCGACAGATTTTCGTATATGTTCCAATCGGTATCTAATAAGCGAAAATGAGAAGAATTTCTCAAAGCTTAGTCGATTTATATTACCAAATACGTACCTAACGATTGAAAATAATGCGCAGCAATGTTGTACTAGAATAGCCACGCAGGTATCGGATGCGACTATGGCAGTGAGTCGAATGACACCGGATAAATAATTATGAATCAGCACGGGATAGTAGTAGTTGTTGACATCTACGAAATATTCAACATGATATGGAAATCCTACTGGCCGTGTCGAATAGTTAGAAGTCATATTTTTGCCGATTATCTTCGGAATTATCGCCATTATCCAAAAGATGTTGCCAGCTGCATACATGCCACCTAATTTAAGCAATACTTAAAAAAATATACATTCGGAATTTTAAAGCACTCAAAATAATATTTAAGAGCTTTTAAAGATACGAATAATATTCATGAATTATTTTCAATATATATTTAAATTGATATTTAACAAGAATCTGAATTTTTTAACAATTATCACTCAAGCCTGCACATAAAAATAATTGTTATTAGTCTAATTATTAGTTAAATTTTTTCCATTATGATTGTTCTTCTACTAATTTCAAAATATAATATAATAATGATTTCTATATATCAATATCTTACTAGCATAGCCGATTGTAAGGCTTCTTCCAGTTTCCGCAAACTTCTGCAGAATTTCGAATTCACTTTGAATAGCCCACGATTGCCAATCTCTTTGTACATGTATAAAAAGTATTTTGATCTATGGCACGAAATTTCATTTATTTAGAAATGTGGAATATCCGCGCGTTTAATATACCGATCATATGCATACCTTTTTTATATTACACAGTGAATTTATCACTTTAATGATGCAAAGGCTGTATATTATGAGCGATGGTATACACTCAAGCGTTGCGTTAAGGTCGTTACGTAATGTCACTAAAGCGAATATCTTGAATCCAGTAATTTGTGTCAGGATAAAAAAAATATCAATGCAAAAGATACATTTTGCGAAAATTATAAAAAAATGCGACAGAATCGGTTTAATAATTTTCAACATATTAATAATTTCCAACATTTTTAACTGATAATTATATGTCTTTGTATAAATCTTTATTTAAATGTCTCTTGTTTTTAAAATTATCTTTATGATATATCGCGCGATGAGATAAAAGAAAAGATTTTTTCACGAAAGTACATAAAAATGAATTGCAGATAATTATAAATTAGAACCGCAACGTATGAAACGATGATACCTGCGTGATGGCTTGCGATAAAGCAAGAAACGACACCGTTGCAAAGATAACACGTCTATGTATGTCCTGTTGAAAAGGCCACTGTCCCAGTAATGAAAGCAACACGCGATTGATTCTATATAATCGAGATTGAAAGATTTCGTTCGGTGAATCCATCTTCAGCACTCGATTGAGACTACTGTATCGCCGATATTGTCTCAGTTGTCTTAGATTTTCAATTTAATAAAAAATTCTCTCAGAGGGAAAATAATGTTTCTAGCGAGTGAAATATAATCACGAGAAATTGGCTTACCAGATTGTCTATTCTACTAGATGAAAGACGAACGATCGGACACTATTCGTAGGCATATCTGTAATGCTCTTTTATGATTAATTTTATATAGTGAAGATCTTATAGTCCGTACTTATTATATTTTGTAATAAGAACTTTGATATTATTGGCATATTGTCAAGTGTATGTGTGTTTAACGACGTATCACAATTGTGCCATGTATTTCATTGAATCACGATTATTATCTTATAGAAACCGTAACAGCGTTTTGTCAAAATGATAAAGTACACGCATGAATATACTAATATTCTTCGGTTATTTTATCGTAAATATGAGTAGCACATTTTATCATTACTTAAACAACGGAATATTATACAACATCTTTTTACATCGACAATTTTACACTTTTCAGAAAAGAAACTCTGAAAGTTTTACACATTACCGTATGGATTGTAAGACTGTAAAATATGAAGCAGATGCACGTACAACCTGGAAAAAGAAAATATTTTTGTTAATAGAAAAACGATAATATAAAAGAGAGAGAAATCTTGAGACAATTTCTTACCGCGCTGAAACTGGGAAGAGAAAGAATCATAATTTTTCCAGCGGTCAATGTGCAAGGTGAGATGCTCCTCAACATTATCATGTTTAAGAGTTTTCTAGATTTGGATGATGTTTCATACCATTCGCCTCGATAACTAATGTTAAGAATTTTATTAATATCGATTTAGTTATGTTATATTATTATATACTTCCAATTTCTATTAAAAAAAAATTTAGTAGATAGAAAATCTACAATCTGACTTACATTGATGTGTATACACGATCGCTATGATCGATTATCTGTTGCCCTAGCCAACATACAGTAAATAAATGTAATAATTGAGCGATTATATATCCCCCATGTCGGATTGCGATCTGTGGCGTGAGGGTATCATTAGTCGCCTAAATATTTCGAAACGGAGCGATTTTAATAAGTAAATTTACAAAATAGCGCCAATTTATGCATCACATACATTTAGCACAAACCTGTACAGCTGAGAGACTCATGACTCCTATAATTAAGCCGACTTCTATAAAGAACGCCTTTGAATAAACAGTTTCCAAAAGGCCCGCAAACCTTATTTAAAGAAATGTTTCGATAATTATAAGTGATCTCTCTTTAAAGTATGTAAACTGAGAATTTCTATATTTTTCTTAATTATTGATTAATTATTAATAATAAATTATCAATTATTCATAATTACTAACTGTAAGCCATCTTCGTGTTTTCGAATACAGTAAACAAAATTTTTGTAAATTTTATCATCTTCCTCGAGCATAGCGAGTTTTTTGTCTTGTTCGACAGATTTTCGTATATGTTCCAATCGGTATCTAATAAGCGAAAATGAGAAGAATTTCTCAAAGCTTAGTCGATTTATATTACCAAATACGTACCTAACGATTGAAAATAATGCGCAGCAATGTTGTACTAGAATAGCCACGCAGGTATCGGATGCGACTATAGCAGTGAGTCGAATGGCGGTGGCCAAATAATTATGAATCAGCACGGGATAGTAGTACTTGTCGAGATCTACGAAATATTCGACATGATATGGAAATCCTACTGGCCGTGTCGAATAGTTGGAAGCTACGTTTTTGTCGATGATCTTCGGAATTATCGCCATTATCGGAAAAAGGCTGCCAAACGCATACATGCCACCTAAATTTAAGCAATACTTAGAAAAAATATTTTCGAATTTTTAGTGCACTCAAAATAATATTTAAGAGCATTTAAGGATACGAATAATATTTATGAATTATTTTCAACATATATTTAAATTAATTCTTAACAAGAATCTTAATTTTATAACAATTATCACATGAACACATAAAAACTAATTGTTATTAGTCTAATTATTAGACTAATTAAACTAAACTTCTTCCATTATGATTGTTTTACTAATTTTAAAATATAATATAATAAGGATTTCTAATAGATCGATATCTTACTAGCATAGCCGATTGTAATGCTTCTTCCAGTTTCTGCAAACTTATGTAGAATTTTGAATTCACTTTTGATAGTCCACAATTGCCAGTCTCTTTGTATATGTGTAAGAAGTATTTTGATCTATGACTTGAAATTTCATTTATTTAGAAATGTGAAATGTGTGCGCTTGATATACCTCTATCACATGCATACCTTTTCAATATTGCACAATAAATTTACCAGTTTAACAATGCAAGCGCAATCTACTATGAGTGGCGGTATACATTCAAGTGTTGCATCAAGATCGCCACGTAATGTCATTAAAGCCAGTACCTTGAATCCAATAATTTGTGTCAAGATAAAAAAATATCGATGCAAAACAAAATATTTTTAATTGATAATTATATGTCTTTGTATAAATCTTTATATAAATGTTGCTTGCTTCTAAACTTATCTTTACAATATGTCGCGCAATAAGATAAAAAGAAGATTTCCGCTCAAAAGTATATAAAAAATGAATAATAAAAATGAATTGCATGGTGAAAGTATAATAAAAATGATGAAAGCATAATACAAATGAATTACAAGTGATTATAAATTAGAGTTGCAATATATAGGACGATTATACCTGCGTGATGGCTTGAGTTATACCAAGAAACGACACTGTAACAAAGGCAACTCGCCTGTATATATCCTGTTGAAAAGGCCACTGTCCTAGTAATGAAAGCAGCACGCGATTGAGTCTATACAGTCGAGACTGAAAGATATCGCTCGGTGAATTCATCTTCAGCACTCGATTGAGACTACTGTATCGCCGATATTATCTCAGTTGCTTTAGATTTTCAGTTTAATAAAAAATTCTCTCAGATGGAAAATAATGGATATAGCGGATGGAATAAATATAATTACGAGGAATTGACAACGCTTACCAGATTGACTATTCTACTAGATGAAAGACTTGAACGATCGGGCACTAATCGTAGGCATATCTATAATGCTTTTTTATGATTGACTTTATATAGTGATGATCTTATAGTCCATACTTATTATGTTTTGTAATAAGAATTTTGATATTATCGGCATATTGTCAAGTGTTTAACGGCGCATTACTATTGTAATTGCCATGTATTTCATCGAATCATGATTATTATCTTAGAAACCATAGCGGCATTTTATCAAAATAATAAAGTACACGCATGAGTATACTGATATTCTTCAATTATTTCATCGTAAATATAAGTAGCAGATGTTATCATTACTTAATCAACGGAATATTATACAACATTTTTTTACATCGACAATTTTACGCTTTTCAGAAAAGAAATTCTGAAAGTTTTACACATTATCGTATAGATTGTAAGACTGTAAAATATGAAGCAGATGCACGTACAACCTGGAAAAAGAAAATATTTTTGTTAATAGAAAAACGATAATATAAAAGAGAGAGAAATCTTGAGACAATTTCTTACCGCGCTGAAACTGGGAAGAGAAAGAATCATAATTTTTCCAGCGGTCAATGTGCAAGGTGAGATGCTCCTCAACATTATCATGTTTTCTAGATTTCTAGATTTGGATGATGTTTCATACCATTCGCCTCGATAACTAATGTTAAGAATTTTATTAATATCGATTTAGTTATGTTATATTATTATATACTTCCAATTTCTATTAAAAAAAAATTTAGTAGATAGAAAATCTACATTCTGACTTACATTGATGTGTATACACGATCGCTATGATCGATTATTTGTTGCCCTAGCCAACATACAGTAAATAAATGTAATAATTGAGCGATTATATATCCCCCATGTCGGATTGCGATCTGTGGCGTGAGGGTATCATTAGTCGCCTAAATATTTCGAAACGGAGCGATTTTAATAAGTAAATTTACAAAATAACGCAAATTTATGCATCACATCATACATTTAGCACAAACCTGTACAGCTGAGAGACTCATAGCTCCTATAATTAAGCCGACTTCTATAAAGAACGACTTTGAATAAACAGTTTCCAAGAGGCCCGCAAACCTTATTTAAAGAAATGTTTCGATAATTATAAGTGATCTCTCTTTAAAGTATGTAAACTGAGAATTTCTATATTTTTCTTAATTATTGATTAATTATTAATAATAAATTATCAATTATTCATAATTACTAACTGTAAGGCATCTTCGTGTTTTCGAATACAGTAAACAAAATTTTTGTACATTTTATCATCTTCCTCGAGCATAGCGAGTTCTTTATCTTGTTCGACAGATTTTCGTATATGTTCCAATCGGTATCTAATAAGCGAAAATGAGAAGAATTTCTCAAAGCTTTGTCGATTTATATTACCAAATACGTACCTAACAATTGAAAATAATGCGCAGCAATGTAGTACTAGAATAGCCACGCAGGTATCGGATGCGACTATGGCAGTGAGTCGAATTGCGGTAGCCAAATAATTATGAATTAGCACGGGATAGTAGTACTTGTCGAGATCTACGAAATATTCGACATGATATGGAAATCCTACTGGCCGTGTCGAATAGTTGGAAACTACGTTTTCGTCGATGATCTTCGGAATTATCGCCATTATCGGAAAGAGGCTGCCAAACGCATACATGCCACCTAAATTTAAGCAATATTTAGAAAAATATTTTCGAATTTTTAGTGCACTCAAAATAATATTTAAGAGCATTTAAGGATACGAATAATATTTATGAATTATTTTCAACATATATTTAAATTAATTTTTAACAAGAATCTTAATTTTATAACAATTATCTCACGAACACATAAAAACTGATTGTTATTAGTCTAATTATTAGACTAATTAAACTAAACATATTCCATTATGATTGTTTTACTAATTTTAAAATATAATATAATAAGGATTTCTAATAGATCGATATCTTACTAGCATAGCCGATTGTAATGCTTCTTCCAGTTTCTGCAAACTTATGTAGAATTTTGAATTCACTTTTGATAGTCCACAATTGCCAGTCTCTTTGTATATGTGTAAGAAGTATTTTGATCTATGACTTGAAATTTCATTTATTTAGAAATGTGAAATGTGTGCGCTTGATATACCTCTATCACATGCATACCTTTTCAATATTGCACAATAAATTTACCAGTTTAACAATGCAAGCGCAATCTACTATGAGTGGCGGTATACATTCAAGTGTTGCATCAAGATCGCCACGTAATTTCATTAAAGCCAGTATCTTGAACCCAATAATTTGTGTCAAGATAAAAAAATATCGATGCAAAACAAAATATTTTTAATTGATAATTATATGTCTTTGTATAAATCTTTATATAAATGTTTCTTGTTTCTAAACTTATCTTTACAATATGCCGCGCAATGAGATAAAAAAAAGATTTTCCCTCAAAAGTATATAAAAAATGAATAATAAAAATGAATTGCATGGT